TCAGCAACTACACACCATGAGGCAAGGTGTTTTCCAATAGGAAGGGTCAGCTGTCTGTCCCTCAGACAAAACTGCCTGAATAGTAATTGTCGGTCTGAGAAAGATGACCTCCACAGTGTGAGGGAATGACTCAGCACAGGAAACCGGGGTGTCTGCCTTCTGAGCTCTAAACCCAGAGCCCCTGATACTGGCTTCTGCTCACACAGCTCCAGTCCACTCTGCCTTCCCTCTGCCAGAGCACAAGGTTTGTGGTTCCACAGGGAATTTTGTGCATTGGCCCTTTAAGAGGGTCTCTGAAATCCACCTGCCTTTCCCTGGCAGACAGCAACCTTGCTGCTTTTCACAGCCAGATGTTATGTAGGTACCCCTTTCAGTTCTGGTGCTCTCTGCTGGGGGGCTCAGCTTGGGGATTAGACTCCAGAGTTCTCAGTGGCAACCCCCCTCCCCCACAGCTGAGATATCTCTCCAGAACTTCAGCTGCTGTCTGTGGGAGTCTGGCCAGCCCTTTCGCACCTCCACCCTTCCTATGAGTCTCTGTGTGGTCTCCACTTTCTTTCCTTGGTTATCAGGGTTCTCTCCAGTGAGTCTTCCATTGATTATTCAGAAAGTTTTTCAATATTTTAGTTGCAATTCCAGTTTGGTCCTGGGAGCATGTCCATTCAGCATCTACTTATGCCACCACCATTTTTAATCTTATCACCAGTTACTTACTATGTAACTTTGAGCAAGTCTCAACCTCAGCATTCTTATATGTAAAATAAAGCTAAAAATAGTACTATCTCACAGAGTATTGTGAGGATAAAATCAGATAATGTGTATAAAAAGCACAGGTCAGTGTCTGGCATATGAGATGAGATTTATAAAATGAGAAATTTTTAAATTTAACACCTGTTCTTCATTTAGATCCATGTCCCTTGCTTCAAATATTTGTGAAATTGTGGCATTTTTAAAAATTCCTCATTAACAAAAATTCTTTTAAATATTTTCATTGCTTTTTTTTTAAAAAAAGAAGCATTTCATTGATAACTAATTAGTTCTTGGGACAAGATGGAATGCTGACATAAGCATGATGACACATCCCAGCAGCACAAATGGCTGGAGACACAGGATCAGGGATAAAGGAATAGTTCCCAAAGATGGAAGAGATGAATAGAGAAATATTTCAAATACATGAGTTTTATGTAAAACAGAGATGTATCTAAGATATTTCCTAAGTGGCAAAATGGAGGAGAGGAATAGAAAAGGTGGTTGAATTCTTTAAGAACAGTCCATCCTTAAAATTTTTAAAGGTTTCTCTGATTTTATAGTCAGAAGGGATATTGTTAAACTTTCCCATGCAATATAAAAGATTGTTTGTATCTAATTTCTGAAATGATATAAGGTTAACAAAAATTAATTAGGCACTCTTTCATTTAAATGGACCCAATGATCTCAGTCCCTGTGAAGCATTTGAATCACCTTTAAAACCAACTTGTAGTGTGAATAGAGACAGTCTTTACCTGCAGAAGACCATGGCACACTAGCTCTCTTCATTCATGATTCACATAACCCTTCATGGCCTTCACATTCGCATGAGTTTCAGAGGCTTGAGCTTCACAGCTCTTGCAACTGACTGCTGCACTGCAGTTCCCACAGCCCCTTACACTGCCCTGTGAGACCTCCTCCCCACTGGGAGCCTGGCACAGTGCTCACCACGCCCACAAGCACTAATGCACCTGATGGCATGGAAAACCCAACTGCCTCATCACTCTCCACTAAATGCCCACCCACATTCTACCTCCTCTGCAAAGTTATTCTCAGAGTCCATCTCATTGACTGTCCTGAGTCTGTTCTCCTGCCCATTTCATGCCATTATGAGTATATCTGCATACACCCAAACATCCCTTCTTCTTAGAAATCTGAATTTCTTTTGGATAGGATTTCCAAATAAAAATCTCTCATTTCTGTGAGAACTCCTACAGGGCTAATGAAGAAACATGTGGCATGTTAGTAAATGCTGACTGATTTATACAATTTTATTTTTTAGTTTAATTTATTATATTTTATTTTTAGGGCCAATAATAAATAGAAGTAAGCACATTTGGGGCATTAAGTTGACTGTGGAACCAAACGATTTATTATATTACTTATATTATGTTATTTCATTATTTACATTATGTTATTCTCTCTAAACCTCAGGCATCTCAGCTGTTAAAGGATGGTAATAATAGCATCTACTTGAAAGGATTATTTCAAAGATTAAATGAAGTTAATTAAATTTTACTTTTAAAACAGCCATTGTACATATCAAGTACCCAATAAATGTTTGTGTTGTTTTTATTAGCATTAATGTATCAGAAAAATATAACCAGTCATTTTCTAAGGTTTGAGTAGCAGTTTCAATCACTCATAAAACAGGTATTACAAATTATGAAAGTGTCAGTTTGGTCTGAATTTAAGGTTGTCCCTTTCCTTCAGAAGTTTTTAAATTGTATCTGGAGATAGCATAACTATGAACTCTTGCTTCTCAACATATGGTACCCAAAGCAATTAATCTTGCCATTATTTTCCCCTTATTCCTGCCACCAATCACCACCTAGGGTGAATGCAATGAACATGCCAGCTCCTATTCCACTTGCCACCTCCCACGTTAGCCACTGTTTGCTGCCCTTTACCTCTTCCCTTGCCTTCCAGGCATAAGCCCTGGATGTTTGCTTCTCATTTCTTGGGCCCAACACTTCTTAGTCTTTTGTGGGCACCTCTTCCCTTTCGTTAAGTAGTATTGTTGCCCAGGTACTTTCCCTTCTCACTCCACACTTGCCCTGAATGACCCCATTTTCTCTCAGGATTTCAACTGGTTGCTGACACCACATACACCTTTTGCTGCCCCTGCCTGTGGCCAGGCCCTCACCACCTCTAACCCAGCCTATGGAAATCACTGCTTAAATGGTGCCCTGGCTGCCATCTTTTCTCCACTTGAAAATTTCTCCTTCACACAGGCACCAGAATGACCTTCCTAAAGTTTAAATCAGACCTCAGCAACCTCAAGCTAAAGCTTGTCAATGGTTTCCTTTATTTGCAGATAAGATCCAAACATCTGTAAACTACCAATAAATCCCTCCTGCACTTGGTAAACCACATTCAGAAAGCACACTATGGACATTTATTGTCCAGATTATGCTCAGTTCAACCAAGCAACACTGTTCTAAAAGTTATTCAAATCATTTTCCAATATGTTATTGATTGTAACCTTACAATCAATTAGAAGAGGTTCTCAACTCCAGCCAATGAATATCACCAGACCTCTTGAACTGAAATTATTTAGAACAATTCACTTATATTTTCCTCACACACATTACACATTGTATCACTTCAAAAAATAAATTTATAGATTTTCATGATAGTCAAAGCATATTATATTAATGCATATACTTAAATGTACTTAAAATCAGTTATACAAAGAAAACAGGGAAATAATGAAAATTGATAAGTTGACAGCATTGTCCACAAGCTTAGAATTTGAATCCATTATAAATTTCAGATCTCCATATTAGAGAACTGTTAAAGATCAATCTTTGCTATAAAGTGACAAACATTTGTTGAGAGTCCACACCTCTCAGAGCCTCTGTCAATATGTAGGAACAATGTGTAAAAATTCAAGAGAAACTACAAGAAGAAGGGCTGATGGTAAGACCTGCTGGGTCTGAATTCTGCCCTGACCATATTACTGTGATGATTAAGATGATTAATTAACCTTTGAGATGTTACTTTCTTCATCTTCAGAATGAGGGGGTTTAATGACACAAATTTCTAAGGCCCTTGCCAGCTTTGAAATTTGAATATTTAGCTACAGCATAACCAGAGAACAAAAAGCCTTCCCCTGAACATGGTTTGAAGGGGACCAAATCCATGGTGCCTCTCAGTAAAAAACAGTCAATGTAAAAGCACTAAGGTGCCCAGACTGGGTGAGGCTCCCAACCCACACTCCTGCAAGCCTCCACCTTCAGGTGCTAAAATCTTTAGCTCCTCACTGCTTTAACCATGCTGGACATTTTCATACAATGTAGCCAGATTTTTTTTTAGGCTTGAATCAATAAAAATTTAACAGAGAATTCAACGCCTGCCCCCCCGTCCCCTGCTTTCAGATACAAGCAGTGATAAATATATAGCCTTCCAGTGACACACACTAACAATTCACAAGGGAAGGGCTGGACAAGTGGCCCATGTGTGCTTAGCCCCAGTTTGTTGTGTTAGGATATAACAGGGGTACAAAGTAAAACTCAAGAGCCGCATTGGCTGTATAGACAATGAAAGGCATTCACACCATCAGTCACCACAGCTGGCTGTGTTTTCTGCAGTGGACCTTTAATGTATTGGATAGTGAATCAGATCGGCTTTACCATTTTGTATCACATTTTGTATCACATTTTGCTTTATGATGAGCAGCAAGCCAGAGTCTATACAGACTTGGGATTTAGACATATAACCAATAACATATCATGAGAAAGAAACAGGTTTGCATGCTACAGTGCATCAACAAAGAACCATCCCAGCATTAACAGCTCTGCTGCTATTTGAGGATGTCTGTCTCAAACTGCTCTCTGGTAAACTTCTTAGAAAGAAAACCTCTGCTCTGACATACAGTTACTATTGTATACCTGCCAATGCAAAAAAGGTGAAAATAATGTAGTGTGCTTATCTGTGTCATGTAAGCAAAAAAGAAAAAAGCAATGTGCTTCACACAATTCAAGCTAAGTTATCCATATTCCCTGAGACAGAAGTCCAAAGCTCACAGAGAAAATCCAGTAGCCCAATTTTAGTTTGCTTTGATTTTGAAGCCTTGTGTTTGTCAGAAGATGTGAAAGTCTTGGAACTGAATCATAAAATTTGCAAAAAATGTGATATACTGAAAAAAAAATAGACAATTCACCCAGTCATTGTGAGCCCAGGAAGTGTGATATTCCTCCCAGATATCAGCTGCCCACCAGCCTCATGGAATTTAAGCCCTGAATGTCACTTACCCTATGACAATACAGGAGATGGCAGTTCCCAGGAAGGCGTATGTTAAAATAGATCCTAAGTTTTGAAAAAAGTGTCTCTGGGGAGAAAAATATATATTTTTATTGTCTGTCAGCATTTTTCTTAGTGTAACAGGAAATAAAAATAACATGCATTTTACTGCCTCCTCCTTTCCTCACTGCTTAGGCAAGTTTTGTTGTTGGAGCCCCAGTTCCTGGCCTTCTTGTACAATAAGACTTACTTAATCTACACTGCAAGGACAGAGGTTTCTCAAAGAAGTAGGGGAAACATCTGGAAGGTGATGGGGTAGAGATGACAGAAACAAGTCCCAGGCCTGGCAGGTGAAGAGAAAGGAAGGGACTGGGCAATGTCCATGCAGGGCTCTGGCAAGAGAGTTTTTAGGAAGCTTGTTGTCACTGGAACCACTTAGCATTTAAAAATGCCATTCTAAAATATTTAAGTCGGTTGCCTTTTTACTTTTATTATTAGATCTCTGACTTACATGTTATGAAATAAACTTTAATCACCTACAAAAATTTATTTTGAAGACATACAAAATGGCACCCTAGTATTGGGGCTGGGTGAAGAAGAATGACCTGAATAAATCAGCCTCCTAAATCTTTTCAAGGGCTTGCTTGGGAAAACTCTCCTCCAGTTTGTAAGTGGGGCCTGAGTAACCAGAACTGACAGCAAGAGGGAGCCCAGAGTCCACAAGAAAATCAAGTCTGCACTGAGCAAGCAGCCCAGTGTCTGGCATAGGAACCCACAGACCCACAGGCACTGCCCAGGAATCTGGGCAGGAGGGCAGCAGAAAATCAGACTCATAGCCTCTGCCACTCAAACTGAGGCCAGAGCCTCACTCTGGGTACAGGGATGGATCATTTCCCTGCCAGCCCTGCACACCAGGCTGCATCTGAGTAATGGCTGAGGTACTTGCAGCTGTGAGGCTGGGCCTCCACTCTGGGAGCACCAAGGGCAGAGCACAAGCACAGCTTTCCTGAGCTCTCACTCTGCGGGCTAACCCCATGCTAGTTCACTGCCTACTCTTGATTACACCCACAGAATAACAATGTCCAATAGAAATATAATGTGGACCATGTATATCATTTAAATTTCTCTAGTAGTTACATTAAAATATGTTTTAAAAAAGCAAAATTAATTTTCACAATATTTTTATTCAACCCCATATACCCCAAACATCATTTCTACATGAAATCAAATATACAACATTATTGAGATATTTTACATTCTTTCTTAATACTAGGTCTGAGAAATCCAATGCATGTTTTACACTTAAAGCACATCTTCATTCCGACTAGCACACTTCAAGGGCTTAGTTGCTGCATGTGGCTAACGGTCGGTGTGTTGGCCAGAGCAAGTTCAGAAGAATTCCAAGCATGTCAGATTTTAACCTATATAACATAATCTAAGATAATGATATTCTTACCAAATAGGTAAACCCATAAAATAACTATTTTTTCAGTAGTGCTGATAAAATCCTCTCCTTGATGATAAAGAAAATAGTCACCATAAACTTACCTTCTTCAGGCTATATCCTGCATGAAATATAATTGGTGGCAATAGGATATTGAAGAAGATTTCTGGGTCAAATGTCATCTGCCAAAAAAAAAAAGATAAAATGATACTGCAGTTAGGAAGACGCTCCTTTGGGTCACTAAAACTGTGTTTTAAAAATACAATTATATCACCTTCTCTAAGGTTGTATGAGGCACATAAAGAGCCTATCAAATTGGCAGAAATAAAAATAAGAGAAAATGTGAACTTAGACATTTGTCAGTGCAATATAACTATAAGGTAACATTTAATGTGTATTTTCTAGAGCCAACAGCAACACATCCCAGTGAAACTCTGCTGGGCAAAGAAAACTTTTCCCTCTTATTTTGCTTAGTTTTTAAATGTTTTGAGTATATGCGGTTGAATAAAAATATTGTGAAAATTATTGATTTTGAGACAGAGAGGAAGGGAGAGGGATAGAGAGATAGAAACATGGATGAGAAATGTCATCTATTGGCTGGCTCCTGCATGCTCTTTACTGAGGATCAGGTCTGAAACCCAGGCATGTGCCCTGACCAGGAATTGAACCAGTGACCTCTTTGTTCATGGGTTGACATTCAACCACTGAGCCACACAGTTTATTGGCTTTTATTTCAATGTTAAGTTAAACTTGGCCATAAAAACTTTACTTGGTGTGAAGTCCCATAAGATAAGATGTAGAAATTTTTGAATTCAGTATCTGCAATTTGTCTGAAAATGAAAATATTTAATCTTTAAAACCTTCCTTAGACTCATCCTCTTCTTTCCCACTCAACCAGAACATTTCAAAAATCAGAGTGTGCCATTCCCTGCATGAAAGTTAACTAGTGCCTTTTGAGGTACATTTCCTAGCACAGCCAGAGGAAACTGGCAGGCTGAGAATGGCATGCAGCATGCTCATGTTTATTTGTGTATACAAAGCAGATTTGTGCTGCTCTCAGACTTGCTATAAACTCAGGAACTGCTACATCAGAGTTCTGGGAGTAACTCCAAACCCAGACAGTTTCTCAGAAATGGCTGGATCTGCACTGCACCAACTTCCAGATGGGGATCCGATGTGCCATTTCTGCATGTTCAAACCATGGCCTTGGAGATGAGTCTGCTTTTAAGGCAAAAACAATTAAAATCTCTTATCTATACTAATAAAAGTGTAATATGCTAATTAGACTGGATAGACCTAATGTCTCACAGACATCATTCCGGACATCCTTCCTGACAAAGCTGGGGGTGTGGCTGACCTGCAAACTTCCCGTGGCCCCTAGCCCAGGCCGGTCCCACCCCCCACTGAGGACCCCCACCCTGATTGGAGGCATGGCCAGCCTGCAAACCCTCAGCGGCCCCTCACCCAGGCCAGCCCGACCCCCAGCAGGGAATCCCACCCCAATCGGGCACTTGGCCAGCCTGCAAACCCCATGGCTCCTCACCCCAGCTGGCCTCACTCCCCAGTGGGTCCCCCAACCCTGATCTGGGGCCCCCTTCAGGGCAGGCTAGCCAGCCCCCACCCATGCACCAGGCCTCTATCCTCTATAATAAAAGGGTAATATGCAAATTGACCCTAACGGCAGAACGACCACTGGACCAGTCACTATGAGGCACACTGACCACCTCTTGGTCCTTTTCCCTGGCCGTCAGGCACCGATCACCTAATGGCAAATGGGAATCAGGGGTGAGTGGCGGTGGGGGGCAGGGCTGGCTGCGGGCAGCTGGAGAAGATGGCCTTGATCGCAGGCCAGGCCTAGGGACCCTACTCATGCACGAATTTCGTGTGCCGGGCCTCTAATTATAGTATAAGGGGGAATATCTAAGATAGGGGTGAATGGGAAGAGTAGAAAGATAAAAATATTTCAGCTAAAGACACTAGGCATTTAAGATACAAATATTGAGACCAGCACATCCACTACCACTTTCTGTGACAATGGAAATTTCTGTAACTGGACTGCACAGTGTGGTAGCCACTAGCCATGCAAGTTATTGAGCAAGGGAATGTAAGCTAGTGCAACTGAGGAAGTGCATCTCTGTCTAGCTGCTATTGGACAACACATTTATAGACAGTTACTAGAATTTAAAAATCTTATCATTCAGTGTTTAAACAATCTATCATCCTATACAAGGTATGGTAAATTTGGAGCAATATACCTGAAACTATATGGAAGAATTATGGATGCTTCATGAAAGCAGTAAGATTTTCAAATATTGGGAATTAATTCTTAAAATATCAGATGGCATGGGGGACACAAAAATATCAGTATGTTCACCAGGATGCAATAGTGTTCTTCATTATCTCATACTAGAGGCCTGGTACACAAATTAATGCACGGGTTGGGTCCGGCCAGCCTGCCTCAATCAGGGCTGATTGGGCCAGGCTGGCCAGGGGGAGGGGCCATGGGCAATTGACAGGCTGGCCCTGCCCCAATGTGGGGGCCAATCGGGGGCAGTGCTGGCAGGGGGAGGGGCCACCGGCAGTTGACAGGCTAGCCCTGCCCCCTGGTCGAACTCCCAGTTGAAATCCCGGTTGAACTTCCGATCGAGGGGACAATTTGTATATTAGCCTTTTATTATATAGGACTAGAGGCCCATTGCAGGAAGATTCCTGCAAGAATAGGGTTTCCTCAGGCCTATTCCTATAAGAATAGGGCTTCCTGAGACTGGAGCGAAGCAGAGAAGGGAGCGAAGCCCACCGAGGCAGGCTTCACTCCCATCTCCACCGCCTCAGCTCCCTCCCTTCTCTACCGCTTCGCTCCCTCCCTATTCCGCTGCCTCGGCTCTCTCCCTTCTCCGCCGCCTTGACTCCCTCCCTTCTCTGCTGCCTTGTCTCTCTCCCTCCTCTGCCACTTCGCTCCCTCCCTTCTCCACTGCCTTGGCTCCCCCCCTTCTCTGCTGCCTCGCTCCCTTCCTTCTCCGCTGCCTCACTTCTTCCTTTCTCCACTGCCTCACTCCCTTCCTATTTCACTGCCTCGCTTCCTCCTGTGTCCACCGCTTCGCCTCCTCCCTTCCCCTCCACCTCGGCTCCCTCCCATGTCCACAGCCTCAGCTCCCTCCCTTCCCCGCCACTTCACTTCCTCCCATGTCCACTGCCTCAGCTCTGCTCTCGTCTCTGCTACCTCTGATCTGTTCCCTTCTACGCCGCTTGGCTCCTTTCTGCAGTGCTTGGCTTTCTTCTACACTGTCTTCAGTCTTCACTGGGCACCTGTGTATGCAAATTAACCACCATCTTTGTTGGGTTAATTTGCATACTCTTCTGATTGGCTGGTGGGCGTAGCAAAGGTATGGTCAATTAGCATATTTGTCTTTTATTAGTGTAGATATGCACCAGTATTAGGCTAGAAATGGCCTAGTCATATGTTCACAGAGATAATCAACTTGAAAACTTTCAAGAATAGAAAGGAAATGTACCCAGTTTAATTTCCAAGTTCATTAGACAGTAATACATACAAAATTCCATTTGGGCCTGAGTTTTTTTTTTAAATATATTTTATTGATTTTTTTACAGAGAGGAAGGGAGAGGGATAGAGAGTTAGAAACATCGATGAGAGAGAAACATCAATCAGCTGCCTCCTGCACACCCCCCACTGGGGATGTGCCCACAACCAAGGTACATGCCCTTGAGCGGAATCGAACCTGGGACCCTTGAGTCCACAGGCTGACGCTCTACCCACTGAGCCAAACCAGTTAGAGCAGAGCCTGAGTATTAAAGCATCTGACAACTTAATATGACTTATCTGAGAAGAAATACCACCTTAATAGAGGACTGTGATTTATGTGGCATGCTACTTCCAAAGATCACTTCAAAAACATTATTTCACCAACTCTGCGTGGCAGCTGGAAAATGCAATGATCCCCATTTCCAGAGACAGGAGCAGAAATGTACAGTGCCCATCGGTGTGACAGGGACATCACAGGGCATTGGGTGCATACGCATGGGCAAGCTAAACGTGTTCTAACATAACTGCTTAAAGCAAGATTTAAGAGTGTTTAAGAGAATTTGGGACTCAGAGTAGTCCCAATTTCAGCAATTCACAATTCCTTTAGAAAAGTAAAAGTGGTTAAATCAATAATGCTTTTGATAATCTCCAATGCTTTGTTAAACATTTAATAACTCTCTTCTCTGCTGCAAAGTTGATGGGTAGACAGAATTCATGAAGGTCACAGTCAAGGAAGAAAAGACTGTGAAATTTCAGTACGAGGCAGGGAGCTAAACTATAATAGTTCTCTAGGACAGAGAGCAGTCTGGACTTGCTGATCCTACAGACAGTCTTGGTATTGAAACAGCATATGAGCTGGGTTTTGAAGGATGGTTAGGAGCCTATCTGTAGGGCATCAACATGCAGAACCCTGCTCCCTGCCCAGCTGGTGTAGCTCAGTTGTTGAGCTTCGACCCAGGAACCATGAGGCTGCCGGTTCAATTCCTGGTCAGGGCACATACCCAATTGAGGGCTCAGTCCCCTGTGGGGGGCATGCAGGAGGCAGCCAATTGATGATGTTTTTCTCTCATCAAAGTTTCTATCTCTATTCCCTCTCCCTTCCTCTCTCTCTCTCTCAAAAATCAATAAAAACATTTAAAAAAAAGAACCCTGCTCCTTTGTCTGCCCTGAGGGCAGTGATCCAGGATTCACCAAGCCACAGAGGAAACACAGCTTCCTGGAGTTGCAGTTCTACTTGATAGCAATCAATTTGAAATATTAAAATAAATGCAGCTATATTAAAAAGTGATATTCAAAATGTGTATATATTTTGAACACAAATTGGATGCTTCAGAGAGATACTCCTGGCAGGCGGCTTTGGGATGCGGAGACAGCTCAAAGGTAGGCATTTCCTTCCCAATGCCCACTTCATGCTTTGGGATGAGAAGCACCAGGTGGGAGAAAAATAGATTCAGTGTATCTGATGAAAATATAGCAGACACTAATTAGATGACCTATTTAACATCTCTGAATCCCAGTTTCTTCATCTGCAACATGGGCATGCAAAGGCCTACTTCCTAGAGTTGCTTTTGTGGATTAAATATAAAGACAGGTGTTAAGGGTTCTACTTCCCACCAGCTCTGGTTGTTTCTCCAGTAGTGT